GTACATGTTACGATTATAATCCAACATCATTTTTTTATAATAAAAAATGATGTTGGATTATAATCGTAACATGTACTGGCTGACTGACCAAGTCTGATCAAGTATTGTAAAATAATTTTTTTATGTGTTTCACGCCGTGTGAAAAATCAGTTGTGTAACTTCAACGTTTCCTCCTGTTAAAACATGTTCAATAAAATTTCATAATCAATAGATTTATAGCTTTGTTTATATCTGGTTGTTTCTATGCCAAAACTTTGACATTTGGCAGTTTATGCAGTATTCGCCTTTTTTTTTTTTTTTAGAAAAATACTAGAATTTCGTTTTTTCGTTGGAGGTTTCGTCTTCATCATGCAGAAAAAGTTTCACCTAATAACTACAGTATTGGGCTAATTATTATTAAGGCACTGTAGTATACTGACAATACGTATTATGGTTTTCATGTTAACCTACAACCAGCTTCTTTTAGTTGACTGTTTTTGCAGTTAAAATAATATATAGATAATATAATAATAAATTAACAGATTATTTGCTTCCGAGTTCTTGGAAATATTACATTCTTAAAAAGTATTAAATTGTATAAATAAGATATCCGAGCAGTTGATTTTCAAAAAGTATTAAATTGTACGAATAAGTTATCCGAGCAGTTGATTTACATTTGAGCTATGCTATAACTTTTCACTGACAACAAATTTTTTTATCAGGCACGCTTCATCTAACAAATGATATAACGAAGACTGTAATATAGCTAAAAAAAACTGTATATAAAGTGCAATGTATTGATCACTTGATTTTAAACTTATTAAATGATGTCCTTAAACGGAAAATTAAATACCTAATTTGGTTTACAAAAAGTTATAAATCAAGTAAGATCTCCTGGAAAAAATTTAAAACTTTATTGATCATTAAAATCAGTTAGAGTTGGTTAGGATTTATGGTTAGAAAGAAGATTGCGAGAATTATTACGAGTTTCATAGATAAAATTTTATCTCCATCACTTAAAAAATAGTACTACAAGAAGATTTAAGGCATATTTTATTGTATTTTCGTTTTTTTCATTGTGCGTGTGTCAGGATAAACAAGATTTACGTCCTTATTTTTTATCTTCCTTTTTTGATTTGTATAGCACAAATAAGTGCACGCCATGAATTCAACATTAAAACCAGACTCTAATAAACATTAAGATTTTTATAATGATTGTGCGATTTCCGATAACCATTTCTCTGACTAAATCTTAAAAATCAGAAAACTCTAAATCAGGATAACCTGGTGAAATTACTAAACTTAATGACACAATCCCTCAATCATAATTATTATTATGATAATAGTCATAAGGGTCACACAGTTTACAAAGCGAATAAATATGGAATTTCCAGGCTTTGATGTTTATCGATGCATATTTTAAAATAATTCCAGGTAATCTGAATCTGAAGCAACTTTCCAATAAAGATAAGTTGAATTTTTTTTTAAAAAAAAAAACATTATACGTATGTTATTGGTGTACTATAAATTTTTCAATGAAATAATTTCCCACTGTGATAGAAAGACATTGCAAAATCATGCAGATTACAAAGCGGAGTTTAGGATAATTAAAAATTTAAATAATTAGAATATAGAAATTATTAAAAAACCTCTGCTCAGTATTATTAATTGCTGGAGTTATCTCATTAAGTTATATAGCTTGAGTAGCCATATACCAGCAATTTTTACCCAAGTATGATCATTTGTCAATTCTATAATGACTATTTTTGTATTAAAATTCGTTATATAGTATTCATTAAGCTTATAATACTTAGAAATATAAAAGGGTTCGTTATATTATGAACTGACTATATTTTAATTATTAATTGAATAGACGTTTATATGCCTGAAATAATTAAAGATTTTTCATTTATCAAAAATGGCTTTTCATTTAGAAGATTTTACACAAAAATGAAAATTCTTTTACAACGTGCAAGTACTAAAAAAAGAAATAAACTGAGAATTTGGCACTGTACCAAATGAATCTATATATGTAATTCGAATAGAAAAAAGTTTATTTGTGCAACATATCATTGCAAAAATGCTTCGATTTCATAAGATAATCTAGTCTAAAGTTAGTAAATTTGATGAGTAAAGCGTAATTTATACGAGCAAACTTTATATAAATATGGGTTATGGATCGATATTTAATTTCCACCATTTTTTTTAAAAAAATTAATACGTTAATTGCAAATTACATATTAAAAAAAAATATACTGATGGTCTATTACGTCGATAAGGTTTTCATATTAATGATTCTTTTTGGAATCATTGGTACTGTGGCGATTATCCAACCTAATGAAATTGCAAATGATCATGTCGATATAATAAACTTGCAAAAACGAGATTCTATGACATTGGTAACGAGATACGTTACTACAATACCATATACCACGACTGTTAAATTCACAACATGTATACCACCGACAACATCACCATCTGCTAAAAAAACACCACCGCCTGCTGAAACATCTCCATCTGCTAAAAAAACACCACCGCCTGCTGAAACATCACCATCTGCTAAAAAAACATCACCTGCTGAAACAACACCACCTGCTAAAAAAACATCACCACCTGCTGAAACATCACAACCTGCTAAAAAAACACTACCGCCTGTTGAAACACCTCCACCTGCTAAAAATACACCTCCACCTGCTAAAAATACACCTCCACCTGCTAAAAACACACCACCACCTGTTAAAAATCCATCTCGTCGTCAGATGAATGCCCCAGTTAATTTGAATAACGCTACATGCAATGTGTACGATCGTTCGTATACTACATATAACATAATTACTACGACAGAAACTTTAGTAATCCCAATAACAAGATCGTCATCACAAACGCCAGTAGTACCAGCACAGGCACCAGATTTATCAACAACAGAATTACAAACACCAACTTTATCAACAACAGAACCTTTACAAACACCACCTTTACCAACATCACCTTTACCAACTACATATTTGACAACATCATCTTTGACAACATCATCTTTACAAATATCATCTTTACCAACATCAACTTCGCCAGCATCAAGTTTTGCGTCAAATTTATCACCAACGTTAGTATCATCACCAAGCGAAACAAGGTAATTTCTTACTTATGTTAGTTAACACATTTTCATAAAAATGCATAATATTAACTTGCATTAATTTTTACTAATATTTAAAGCTCAAACAGCGGAAAATCACCAATTGGAACAAGGTAATTTCTTACTCATGCTAATTAACACATTTTCATAAAAGATGCAGAACAATATAATTTATATTAATTTATATTAATATTTAAAGCTCAAGCAGTGGAAGTACAGAATCACCTAAATCGTCAGCATCAAGTTACTTTCATAATGAATTAACAGGATTTAATTTCGTAATTTGGTTTATTAATTTTGTTTTTATTATTAATCAAATTATTTAAATTAAAAATTATTTAAATTAAAAATTATCGTAATTTTGCATAATATTATATAAGTTTCGGTAAATTAGTTTTATGCAATTTGTAAAGCAAATAATATAATTCCGAGATCAAAACTTTCGGTGATTAGGGGTTACAATTTGCAATTCATATCATATATTTAAGTGCATAGGAAACCTGAGATAGGTTACCAAATTTCAAACTCAATATCCATATTACAAATTATTAATAATGATATGTAATATTAATGTTAAATAAATGTATATTTTAAATTTGAAAAACATGTCTTAAATTTTGCATTATAAAATGAGGATCTAATAAACCATATACCTTATAAATGTAGTAATATAACTTAAAGAAAATAGATTTTAACGGCTATTCTTTTTTTTTACATGTATTCATTTCAAGCTTGTTCGTTACTGCGGATACTCTTTTTTTTTTATTCATTATACAGGAGTTTGAGCTGGAATATATGTCCTACATTATTTTTTTAAATGTTCATGTTGGAATTAGTGATGAGGAAAATGCGCATTTTATAATAACATGCGCATGATATCGATTTTTATAATTTATGTTTTCCCTTCGGTAAATATCGGATACGTGCTTAAATTTTTACCCTAATATTGCTATTTTTTTATGCTCATTTATTTTCTTTTCAGAATTTTTCGAGACTTTTGCATCAATATTCCTTAATTTCGCCCGACAATACGTTCCTGGTCTAAATGATAATACTTTAATTTTTTATATAAAATTTAGATGGGATAAAATGCGCATGATTCCGAAACATGCACATTAATGCGCACGATTAATGAATCATGCTCACCAATGAAACCCATCTCTAGTTGGAATATTGTGACTTTTCTATAATTGCTTATAGAATTTATAACGAAGTTTTGTGGATTTACTATTGCATGTTTTATTAATGTTTCGATATTATTTTACCAAAAATTACATGTAAATAAAATGTTATTCGTATTTAACAAAAGGCCGCAACTATTCAGTTTTGGAAATACTTGGATGTTATTTTCTTTATTAATAATAAAGAATTTATATTGATATAAAAATGAAATTTTTTAATGCTTAATTCGAAATCAGAGTTAACGTAACCTGTTCCGGATTTTTTATACGTTATAGTTAAATCAAATGAGACAATAATACTATTCAAAATTTTTGTAAAGCCCGTATTTTATACTTAGCTGATGAAACGAAGAAAATTACGCTGAATTTACTATAAACATTTGAAATTTTTTACAAATTTTCTGCTGAATTTTTTTGATAATTTAATTTTTGCTTTGTGTTTTTGAAAATAATAAATAAAGTTTTGATTTTCAATTTCACAGATGAAAGCTCCATTTTATAGTTAATGAATTATAACATAATATAAAGCGTGTTTGGATTCAAAATTTATACTACATCCAACAAATTTCGAAAAAGATGTGACTAAAAGGATTCAACTATACAATAAAAGATATTATTGATTTATGGATAAATATCAGACCATAGATTTTATAATTACTTAGCTATGCTTGTTAAAAATGCCATCTTTATTTTAACATTCTTAATAAAGGTCGGCTAGGAATGTTATCATCTCATTCGGTTTTTTAAATTGGTTACAGATCGAAAACGAATTATCACAAATCAATAAATTATGTGTGAGATTTTGAGATTTATTAAATACACTGTAACGTAAATGTGTTTGTTTTAAATTTTCCTTCCTCCGCATCTGATTTAAAATATTGAAGTTAATCAACTAATTAACTTTAAACGGCCTAAAATAAAAAAAGTGAAACTTTTAATAAATATCTAGCTTAGATGACAAAAGAAATATTATGTTTATCACAAGTAAAATGACTTACGCATACTACATATCGCTCTGGTTATTTTGAAAGCTGGATTAATCGATAAGAAAAGTTTATCATTTTAAAAATTTGCAAAAAATGCTGATAAGAGTAATAATTTATTTCTTTTATAATACTTTCTATTTCGAAAAAAACACGAATATTATTCTATTAAAACAAACATTGGGAGGCTTCACAATTAACAAATAAGTGGCGCATTTCGAAAATAAATCGAATTATAAATCAGAAAATAAAATTAGATTCTCTGATTTTAATTTTGAAACCTATTGTTTTAGTTTCATCTTTCGTCAACTAAAATCTTAGATGGCGAATACGACACTGACGAAACTAATAAAATATGCAGAAGCAGATCAACTGTTTCAAATCGAATTTACAAATATAAAATGATTATCCATCACGTATAATAATTCAAGGGTAGGTATAATGAGATATCACATTATTTGATAATGAATAGCTAGATAAATGCGTTCCTGGTCAGTGCAGTTGTGCAGCTATCTTATCGTGTAAAATTAATTATAATGTTACAACAAGAATGTCGATTATTAATATTTAATGTAGAGAGCTAAACTCACTATGATAATATCGTAAATTCTTACAAGCTTTCATTTTATAACTTGCCTACTAATATTGCTTATCAGAAAATTAATCAACAAATCTTAAGAGTTATTAATTTTTAACTTCAAGCAATGTCTTAAAAAATTTATAGTAAAAAAAACGTTTGAATCTGATATATCAACATAAAGAGGAAAAGTAATATATCTATATTTACTGTATTCATTTATTTAAAAATTCGAGAGTTGTTAATGGCTTATTTGACTAATTAGAATTCCTGTAATTGGCTTTTTAAAAACTAAATATACAAGCCGGGCCATGCCAATAACTTATATAAAAAGCCTCAAATATTAATTTTTTTTTTAAGTATACAAAGTATAAGTCATAATTATATTTTTATTAGTATTTTATCTTTGCTTGCATTTGTTTCTATCCAAAACTTGGCATTTGGCAGGCTATGAAGTATTTACTTTTTTTTTTTAGAGAGAATGCTAAGGTTTCGTCTTTCATCAGAAAAGGTTTCTATGAGATAACATACTGACAATATACACTATGTTTTTCGTGTTAAACCTCGTGTAAAATTCAATTAACTTCTTTTAGCTGACTGTTTTTAGCAGTTAAAATTATATCCGAGCAGTTTATTTAAATTATCCAACCATATGAACTATTACTTTTACTGATAATAAATTTACCTGATCATATACAATACACTTCATCTAATATAACGGACTATAATTTAATTTATTTTACGCTCTACACGTTTCCTAAAAATGTATAGCATTGATCACTTGAATTTTAAACTTATTAAATGGCGTCCTTAAATGGAAATTAAAACAATGCATACTTTTTTTAGGTAGTACGTACCTAATTTGGCTTACAAAAAGGTTATAAATTAAGTACATATGACCTGAAAAATATTTAATTTTGTGAAATGATGCATCTCAAAAAAGAAATTTATTGTACGTATGCGTGTAAAAAATTTTTTTTTTTTTTTTTTTTTAGCTTGATCATTAAAATCGTCAAGATTTAGTTGGGTTCATGATTAAAAAGAAGATTGCGAGAATGATCACAAATTTCAACTTTATGTTGGTGCTACAAGGCAGATTTAAGCACTCATTTTATTATACTTTTGCTTTTTCTTTGCGCACCTATCAGGATAAACAAGATTTACGTTCGTTCTCATTTTCTATCTTCCTTTTTGGATTTGTGTTGCATAAATAAGTGCACGCCCTGAATCGATAATAAAACCAGACTCTTAAGGTTTTTTCCGAAAATCATTTCCCTGACGCCTGACATCCAACTAAACCAAATCTTATAAATCAGATCAACTCTAAATAAGGATAACCTTAACTGCTGGTGAAATTATTAATAACCTTATAAATTGATCATACAGTCCCGCAATCATAATTACTATTCATAATGACAGTTATAAGAGTCACAGTTTTACAAAGTGAGTAGATATGGAAATTTAAGGCTTTGGTGTTATTAAAATAATTCCAGGTAATCAGAGTCAGAAGCAATTAACTAATATAAGTAAATTTGTTTTTTTTTCGTTTTAATATCTTATGCGTATGCGTATGGTATGTGATTGGTATAATAAAATTTTTAATGAACAATTACCCATTGTGGCAGAATGACTCGCAAACAGATCACAAAGTGGAGTTTAGAATAATTAGAATATTAAAATCTCTGCTTGGTGTTATTAATTGCTGGAGTTATCTCGATAATTTATCATTTGTCAATTCTATAATGAACTGTTTTTGTATTAAAAATTCGGTATATTAATTAGGCTTATAATAAATTTTAAAAAAGGTTAGTTATATTAAGAACTGACTATATTTAATTATTAAATAAACGTTTATATGCTTCATAAAGTGAATTGATTAAAAATTATTCATTTATCAAAAATGGTTCTCCATTTAGAAGTTTTTACACAAAAACGAAAATTCTTTTTAGAAGATTATCAAGCTATTAAAATAACTTATTTTTATAACCGCATGTACTAAAAAAAAAGATTTAATTCACTAATCTGGGCATTTGGCACCATACAAACCGTATTTATGTTACATAAGTGATCCCAATAGAAAAGTTTATTTGTGCAACATACATTACAAGAATGCTTCGATTTTATAAAATAATTTAGATCGAAAATTGTGCATCAGAAAGTTGGTAAAATTTAATGAGAAGCGTAATTTGTACTTGAAACTTTATATAAATATAAATATTGGTTATGACTCGATATTTAATTCCCAACTTTTTAAAAAAAA